AGATTCCTTCCTTAATAAAGTGCAATAACATTTTATGTAAACCTGGCATCAAGGACAATATTCAAAAGATTTATATTTAGAGGTCTGTGTGTGTGTCTGTGTGTGTGTGTGACTCTGTACATGTGCTTTGAATGTAAATATGTATATAACAGAAGGCCACAAAGTGGGATTAGTTCCATGCAACTAATTATTATTATTATTATTATTATTATTATTATTATTATTATTATTATTATTATTATTATTATTACTGCTGTGGAGGCCATATTGGATGTCTTAAGCAGCATCATTTCCATTTAGGAATATTAAGACCTTAGGGTCAGTGTGTTTATAAAGTTTCATGGCAATCATACAGGTAGTTTAGGATAAGTAGTGATATCCAACTTCAGCTAAAGGACAGAGAGACAGATTAGAAGCCATGAGATAAGCCCTTTGGTCTATGCAAGAAGAATAACAACCAAAATATCAATTGTAATAGTCCCTAGGAATTTTACACAATCCCATACCACCCCAAACCACCTCACTGTTGCTAAGTAGTTCTAAACCAAAATTTAGCAATATGGAAACCAGTTGGTATCTCCATTCAAGGATAGGATATTTTCCATTCAATTTTTGTTTCACCAGAGAAATTCCAATACCTGAATCAGAATCCAGAACCTGATCTAATCCAGGTCAACAAGGAGCTAGTCATGTGAAAGGTAATTTTACATTCTACTGACAGTCATTGTCTCCATTTTACTGAATGAGCACATTAGATTTTGCTAACTTGAGAAGTAACAGGGTCTACACTGAGCTGGTAGTTAAAAGAAGGGGTAAGAAAAAGTGATATTTGAGATATAGGGCTTGGAATTATGTGGCAGAAAGTTTAGTGAAAAAGATAAAGTATAAGGAGCAAAACATATTGGCTCAAAAGGAGGGAGCAAAACATATCGGCTCAAAAGCCTAATGGGCTGAAATATTAGGACTGCAGCTGTAGCTGGCCCGTATGAGAACAATGGAATATAACAAGTACATATGACCCATAGAGAACATTGGTATATGACAAGTACAGCTGTCCCATATGAGATCATTGGTATATGACAAGTACAGCTAAAAAGGTAATACTGACTTTAGTGAATAAAATTTATTTAAAGGTGATGAACCCACATGAGTTTGTCAACGTTTGTTTCTTGCCAATAACATTACAAGAACCATGCTTTATGTTAGTACAATCTCTTTGTGTGTGTGTGTATGTGTATGTGTGTGTACTTTTAACATAGCTTAAAACAATTTTAGTCATATTGCTACAATGTCTTCAGTGTGGCAATTTATAGTAATGTCTAGCACTGACACATTATCCCGACACCAGGCTGATCAGTCCTAACACTAACCTCTAAATGCTGAGCACCTAGTGAGAAAGCTGTTACTACCATTAAATAAGTCTTTGGTATGACTCAGTTTAATCCCAAAACCATCCATATCCAAGGTAAATGCTCTTACCACTGGTGGTTATAAAGGAAGAATATAGATAGCAAATAAGAGCAGATATTATAAATAAATACAATTTTACTTTAAAATTATAACTGATGACACTAAATATCAATGTCATGCTAACTACCAACTTTTAAAAAAGTGAATTTCAAAAATCTGTTATAATTTTAATTTTAAAATTATTTGTTAGTAATGAGGACTTATAGACCAAATGCATGTTGATGCATTTTCATTTGCAATTCATTTTTAATTTAAATTCATTATATATTTCATTGTTTAGCTTCACAGGATTATGAAATTTTATGTCTGGATCTTCATGCTTAACTAATATTTTTTTTTCAAATGCAACATGCAGCCATTAACATATGAGCAGTGCAGCACATTACTACTGGCCCTGTGTACAACAGTTGCCTGGACAATTTTGTCATTATTGTATCTCCTTCAAATACAGGCTTCACTGTACTTGAACATTTCACAACAAAATCATCCTTAAGCTACAGACTAATGAGAAATCAGCTGGAGAAACAAAAATACTTAAAACCACAAGAAACAGTAATGGAACAGATTACTACAGTTCATAGAAAATTCATGCACGTGATCCACATAAAATTTTAAAAAAAAGTTTTACACTTATTGACAAGATTTTAAAAAGTAATTTTAAAAGCTGTGACTTACCAATAGGTTCTTGGAATCCAGAGTCAACACTACCCTTAAAATCTAGCTTCCTTCCAACACCAGCTACAAAACAAGAAGAAAAATCACAGCATTTGTAAAAAACAAAATATCCCCTGGCTTCCCACATTGTATCACTCACCCTCCCTCAAAATCTCTGTTGCCAGTCAGGTTTCTGTTTCTGTGGGTTTTAATTGCATTTTTAACACAGTATTGGCTATATAATAACAAGGATATGGGAGGACACACTAAGGCAGCTGAACAAGGCTGTTCTGGACAAGTACTGAACCCATAACCACTGGTTTAGGAGTCCAAACCTCTACCAGCTGAACTACTGCAGATCCCTTAAGTTTCTGTTCCAAAGAACAAACCTAGAAACCAATTTTAGAATCATATCTGAATTCAAATCTTCATTCTCAACATGTGTATATATTGTTAGCAAGAAGGCATAAAAAAAAATTGTTTCTAAGCTATAGCGCTGGAGTTTAACCCTCTGGGTAATGCTTGGACCTTGTTTATAAATAATAGCTGCATATAAAAATTTAGCTTTTCAAGCACAGCATAAGTTTATGTGACTTGAAAAAATGGTAGAAATAACACCTGTATAAATTTCTTGTTTCATATCCATTAAGTTCATAATTTCTGTTATGACCCAGGAGCTCAGTCTCCAGAGTTGGACAGGTCCAAAGACCCAAGTCCAGGCCTACCATGTATATTGACATTGATCACACTTGCACATACTGATATATCTGAAAAATGCAACCCCAAAAATAACCTAACCCTACCAACCATTTTGAGGCCCGAGTGGCCAAGTGGTCTAAAGCTCTGACAGTTACGGGTCACTGCCATCTCATCTCCATCTGCTGAGTGAGTTCCAGTTCAGACTGAGTTCAGACTCAGCTAACTTGGGTAAATGAGAAAGTCCGCCAGTAGCTTCTGTGTAGCTTCTTGTGGGTTGGACCTGATTCTTCATGGGGTTTTCCAGAGTTCTTCCTCCACCATTAATACTGGCTACCAAATATAGACTATCTTGCCCTGAAAAATGTCATTAAACCCTACAACAACAACAACAACAACAACAACAAACCATTTTCAAAAGGCAGAGATCAAAATTATAGAGTTCACATAATCAACAACCACAGGACTATGATGACCCAAGTCACACTGTAGAAATTCATAGTCAATAAACATATACAAATTCACACAGAGACTATTATATAATACTGGATTAAAAAAACACAAGATATTTTCAGAATTTCTTTCAAAACAGCTAATAACAGTATTATGTATTATAGCCAGGATGATTCTTTCAGTAGAAACATATTTGGTAAGGCCATCACAATTCTTCAAAACAACCTACCTCAGGTTGCAATGCAATCAGCTGCAATAATTTTACTTTGTTACCTTCAAAAATGATCTTATATATTGAAACTTAGAATTTAAATAAATTACAATCTCTCATGGCATTTACTTTCCCAAAACAATCCCTGATGAAAAACTAAACAGAAATATAAAGAAGCTGATTTTTTTCGCAAAATATATCAAGTCTTCATGACACTATGTACACTACTGCCATATGATCTTTTGCACAAATTATCATTATATGCCCAATTACAGTACAAATATAGTAACAGCAAGATAAAATTAGATCAGAAAGGTAATTCTGTTCTTGTACTGAAGCAAAATTACAGCTTGTGAAGCATCCAAATTTGGCTCACTAATAGACAGAAAAAAGTCAACTTACGATGGTAATTATGTGACATCTTCCTTGCATTAGAATCACAGTCTATTAAGACAACACATGCTGCATTCTGAGAGTTGCTAGGATTTGAAATCTTGTACTGTTAAGAAGCTATTTTTGGTCTATGCCACCCAACTCTCTTTGTCACTTGATCCAATTTCTTGGACAAGTCTGAAATGGATCAATACATCAAATGAGATTTGGAAGGAATAACACATTACCGTAGGCGTTTGCTGCACAAAAACAACTAAAACAGAAAAACAGAAGCAGTGTTTTTTCCTCTACTCTAATCCTCATCTTTAGTAAGATTATTTTGTGCTGTATTGAATAACAAAATGCAAATTTATTTGTTTATGAAAATATAAAAAAAGACTTGGGGAAAACAAATAGAAATAGGGGAAAATACAAATATAATTAAAAATCAAATATGGAGTTTTCTGCTGGACTTAATTTTAATCTTCCATAATTAAAATTCCATTTTAATTATTATTGCAAATTTCAGCATGTATCACATTTACAAATGACCTGCCCATGATGTATATCACTAGAAACAAAAACTTGGTAATCCTGAGATAATAGTATATAGAATTTGTGACAGAAAAAAAAAAGAACAGTGGTCTGGTGCAAATTACTTAAAGAAATTTGAGAACAGTATTAGGTCATCAGTAGATGAGGAGAAAAACAGAAAACAAATGATGAAAAATACTGGAAAGAAATAAGGCTGTACATTCAACTTCACACCAGATTGCTTTCTGTTCAGTACAGTCAAATTCTGTTATGGATTTTGTGAATGATATGAGATTTTTTTAATTTTAGTAATAATGCACAAAATGTGCAGTTGATCTGTTATCATTTGTACAACCCACATATCAGTATGCTGCCAACTTTGGATGAGAAATCTTTTTAAAGTCTTTTAAAATGTTTCCCATATTTTGGTTGTTAGTGTGTATGTGTTTGTTTTGGAGTTTTAACTAGTCTTTAAGATTTTTCAGTTATAATTGCTACAATGTCTGCAGTAAGACAGTTTATAGCAATATTTTGCACTGAGGTATCATGTCCCACCCAGACACATTAAAGCTGTGTGCTAAGCAAGCCAGCAGTTAGAATCATTTTTTTAAAGTCTAGAATGACTCTACCAGGGTTTTGAACCCTTGGTCTCCCACATCCAAGGCAGACACTCTAACCACTAGGCCACTGGACTGGTTCTTAATCATTAATAACTTCAGCCATATTGGGCACATCAGCATTATTGGCACAAAACTGGTTTTTGGTTTTTGTTGGGTTTATACATGGCAGTCAGTGCATTTTGGTGGAAATGTGATAGAATCTGGGCAAATCCCAGAAAGAACAACCAACTCATAGGAAGCTATTGGCAACCTTTCTCACATACACACAAATGGTCAAGTCCAGATTTAAGCTCATGCTGACAGAGGTCAGGAATGTAAGACAAATGCCACTGACCACTCAGCCACATGATATATCCTCAAAAATTAAAAGGCTTTCATGCCAGGATGCTTCTTGCACAACTTGACCTTTACTTACATTTAGTGGTTTCTGATTATTTATCAATGGTTCCCTTACTGGATTGGACTCCATCTTGTACGAACCTCATGCCAGAATGTTCTCTGCTAAATTTGTTGAAATCATCTGTTTTTTGTATTTTTTTAAAAAAAGAAAATGTTACAAAAAGCAACTAAAACAATTGCAATTAGTTGGCATTTGTAAATTCCAAAGTTTTACTTCATATTTAATCAACACCCTCGACCAGTCCAAAAATTACATTTACCAACCACAGCCCCAAAAAGTGATAAAAAGTGATAGTCATCAAAATGTAAAATTCATTACATCTGTACATTTGTTTAACTGTACAGCAATAGAAATGGCAAAAATTACTGAACAAATCAAAAAGGTTTTTGTTTGCCCAAGTTGATACCATATTTCATGTTATTTTCCGTACACGAAAAAGTAATTATTAATTTCAGTGTACAAAAAATTATATGTAAAATAAATAATTATCATTTGGTGGTACTGACCATGTATGAAAAAAAAAGGGATCATAGCTGAACAAGTTCTACAGAACACACATTACTGGACAACCTAACAGTACAAACATGCAAAGTAAACGTTTTTTTTTCTATCTCATTCTGCTCTCAACTCAAGAACCTAATTAAAATAAAAATAAAAATACCCAACAATTTTTATTGTTGTTAGTGAACAAGAGAGATAGGGGATTATGTCTCAGTGTGCAAGCTGTCTGCAATTAGAGCATATGTAACTATTATGTTGTGTAATGTTGGCAGAGCTCTGGTTGGCAGAACCACCATGGCACTGAAGGAAGATGATCTATATATCAGCTTTGGCCAATGAATAGGCAGTACTAATTGTATACCTGGTACTAATGTTTTGATGCTGAGTATATAATTAACATCATATATCTCTTGATGTTCCGTGACATTAACTAATTATATATATTAAAAATAAGATGGCTTTTAGAGTTCTGATATCAAGAAATTTGATATACCAATGGTATACTACTGACATATCAAATTATGATTTATTTATGTGCAATAATATGCATATATAAACATTGGAACAGCATTAATCATTAGAATCAATTATCCCCATTTTCAACATGAATTTCAAAAGAAAAACTTTTTTATTGCAATAATTTCTGCTTTCCATTTAAAAAGGGTAAATATGTGTATTAGCAAGTGGTGTAAATAAAATATTTGTACAGTATAAATGCTGTATCAAAAATATTCAACTCACATAAATTTCCATCAAATGGAAACTTGGCTAGCCACACTTCTTTTGATTGTAATAGCTATGGAGTAATATCCATTTCTCATCATCATCATCATAAATCCATGATGCAGAAAAAGGAGGAGATGCATGTTGTTGTCAGGTTTTTCACTGAACTTTACATTACCTTTGTTGATAAATGATTATGTGCATAGACAGCTGAAGAGAGAATTGTTTAATGTTGTTTTACTCATTATTAACAACAAAATGATATAACTTAGCGTGGTTCCATCATGGAAACTTTATAATGTGGGTTGGTGTATTGGCTTTGAAGTGCTTTAATTGCCTGTCTTGGTATAAAAGCCTATCCTGATCAATGATTACTACAATAAATTTCACTGTGAATAGTGCTATATTATGATTTATTTATGTGCAATAATATGCATTTGTGTGTGTGTGTGTGTGTGTGTGTGTGTGTGTGTGTGTGTGTGTGTGTGTGTGTGTGTGTGTGTGTGTGTGTGCATGTGTGTGTGTGTATTCTGGTCAACAAGCTATTTAGTCAATTCAACCAGACTAGAGAAACCACAATGTGATCATGCCTGATGATGTAACAGTGAAGTTCCCTATAGGAGAATAGTAGATGTATAGTGTTGTTTGTTTTGTTTTGGTGATTTACAAAACAAGCAAGTCATTTATGGCTAAATAAAAAAAAAAGAGCACACTGCCCTGCCTATGGGCACAAAATGGTAGGATGTCATGGTTCATTTTGAATCTGGACACCTGTCAAAAGTCTGCCAAGCTAACCACCAAGTCACCATGTCTCCTTTGGAGTGGTGTACTCAGCATGCACTATGTAAATCAACTGGGTGTTCCAGACAATATTTGACTTTCTATAATGTCTGCCTATTGGTAGAGAAAACTTCACTAAAATAGAAGAATGGTGTACCCATCATACACACATTATATATATATATATAATGTGTGTATGATGTGTGTATAATATATATATATATATATATTATATATATATATAGGAGACAAGTGTACCCAACAAGAGACTTTCTTTATTGACATATTATGTCTCCATTCTGCTTTCACTGCATGTGCATTAACGGGATTGAAAGGGATTGAAATTATCAAACCAGGCAAAAAAGCAGTTTCAACTGAACTGTGTGATCAGAAAATTATCCTCTACAAATGTTAGCTTTATAGACATCCTTTGGATTGTCTGCAAATATATCAATGGGGGGAGGTCAGAGGTGGGTGAGTGGGTGAATCCAATGTGCAGCTTATAAATATATTCACTGAATACAGCTTCACCTTCCCTCCAAAGAAATTGCTGCAGATGCCCATGTACATATGCAACTTAATAGGTTTTACAGGAAGGTGAGTGAGGTCGATTCAAAAAGCTAATTTGAGAACATTTTTCTTCTATTTGATAGCAGCTGCAATTACTGGCAATACATGTTTGGGACTTAAAATATGTACTCTTGTGCACAGATATGTTGCACTCCACTCTACTGCATGTGCATAATTCCACATGATTGATGACCAATCTTATCACTAAATGTACCACATTCACAAAATGGCATAGTATCCTTTGAGGAAGCTACCTCCCATAGTGTTCATAGACATTTCTGAATATACTTGATTTGTGTGCTCTGGCACATTTGAAATCAACACCTGCTGAAGGTACATAAGCAACATGTAGATACTTTTTCTGCATCAATGAATATTTTCTTTTTTTCTTTCTCTGTAGCAGTTTCCTACACACTGTTCCCATGAAAAGTAAACTCTTTGTAATAATCTACTTTTCTTGCTAAAGTGACCAATTTTTTTAAATTGTGTACCACTGAAGCACATTGATATAGCATTCAAAAGAACTTTCCTGTTGGTTTACTTTAAGCACCAATCTGATTAAAATCAGATCTCAAATGTCCAACATGAAAATCTGACATGAACCGATTAGGGGGTTATTTTCTGGTGACAGATGTTATTACTGTAAATGCTAATGTTATCAACCAATAAAAAATGAAGCCTTATATCTTCCTGTTTGGGAAACTGAACAGTATAGCTAAAGATTATCAGTGTGTGCCTATGATCTGATACACTTTCAAATTTCTGAGAGCTGCATTTCCACTGGATAATTCAAAGGTCACCAGAACATGTCCCTTTCAGACCTTCACCAAGGACAGTGTCATCTGATTTTAATTAGATTGCTTTAAGCACATAGTTTTAAAGTAGCCATAAAAAAAATATTTAATCTGGCTTGATTTTTGTGGATAAGAAATACAGAACAATTTAATTTCATAAAATTTCACAAAATATTATCTAGATACAGTTTAAAACTACCAATCTCATTTTTGTATGGCACTGCTCTTTCACATGTTGAGGTGTAACTATTTACTGATGTGCATCAATATTTTTGGTTTGGCTAGCCTACTTACTTGTGTATGTCTAAATGCACAAATTCTAGTTTAGTTGGGCTAAGCCCACTTCAAAGATGTTTTGCTTAAGTGGATCTAACATACTCTAACATAAATTAGTTTTAATAGGCAATTCTAATGTTTTACACTAAAAACAAAGCTTTTATCTGTTAAACTGGAATACTGGCCTTCGAACTTGCTATTACTGTATTAATTCACATTAAATTCTAAACTCCTCAACCAATTTTCAAAAGATGTGGTTATACATATAATCAGGATCTAGGACAAAATTTAATTATCAAAGGTCTGCTCAAGACTTAACTCCTTTTCTCTTCTGGATCGTACCAGAAAATTTTGCTGGTTATAACTCAGATGTAAATGTGGCATTTTATTTTTTAATGATTGTAGGCAACATGAATTAAATGAAATTAATGGCTAATAGTATCTCTTTACATGTTTTTTTTTTCATTTTACCAAACTGCATTTCTGATAATTTGCAACCAAAATAAATCAAGTTAATTTGCAATACTGGCATACACATATTCTTTTTAGCTTGCACATATACAACCATCTGGTTGAGTTACAAAGACCTGGGGTAGAGCAGAGTGTTATAAAGCACTCACTGTTATGAATCACTGCCATCTCACCTTTGTGTGGGTGGAGTCTCAGGTTCGGCCAATGTAAAAACTATTAATGTTGATTACCTCAAATTTTAGTGTTATTAATAGTAATTGGGGGATGTGTATGCATGAAAATTTAGCACTAGTAAATATCATTTTTTGCATGTTACTGAGTAGCAAATCTTCTAAGTTGTGCTGTTATGTCCAGCACAATAAAAGGGATATAACTCTTGTGAACAAATTTCTCAAACAGCTTTAGGCAGCAGGGTACAGTTTCATAAATTGGCCTCTGGCAAATTTCTCAACTTAAGGCTATGGTGGGACTTTTTCAGCTATTATTGTTTACTAATTAAAGATATGGATATATTTGTAAACTAGGTGTTTGGGCTTGTGTTATTCTTGAAATTGATGTT